TAACAGAATGTAATTAGTTCTACCATCTTTACTGCAAGAATAAGAAATTCTTACTAGGCTATGGTAATGTAAGATTCCTTTCTGGTGACTGATTTTTTATATTTCTCAGACATTTTTTTTTGGTGGAAATGACCCAGGAAGTTGTTAGGCTAAGCTCTGAACACTGAAATTTCAGCTCATAAATCCTGTACCATTTTGGAATAATGCTGTGTATGTGAACCAGTAGGTTGAATTTCAGACCCCATCCTGACAGCTCTGTCCAGAGACAGGATGCCAGCAGATGGCAGATTGATCATTGCCCTGGACAATTCCCCTGTGGAAGTTCTTGAGTGAATTAAAAAAAAAACAAAACAACTGTAGCTTTTTCCCTTACAGAAAATCACATGAATAATACTATATTAATAAAGAAAACATAGGGTGTTAATATCCTCAGTGGGTTTTTAGCAGCTGATGTAATGACACATTGATGCTGGCTAGTAATGAAATGCAATAAAACAAAAGACGTGTTGATTTTTGGTATATTTTGATTAGATGTCAGGAAGTGGAGAGGAAACTTTTCCATCAGTCTTGCCTTAACTTAATCTGCTCTGAAATGCAGGTGTCAGGCCATATGTTCAAAACTATAAATACGATCTTACTAGCTAATCTTTCAGCTAGGTTGTAATACATTTACCTATTAACCATGACCCAAGTTTTGAATTCAGCAACGAGAGTGCAAATCCAGAATTATTTCACTGGTTTGCCTAAGCAGTGATCTGGATTTGAATTTCTGGCTTTGTGAATCATCTCATCTGAAAGTTTGATTCCGCTGCCAAAAATGAGAAAAATCCATGCTGATAAGGGGCTGGAAGAGAAAGCGCAGGGTGGGGGCTGCCTGGCAGGAAGCAGACAGGGTCCCTGGGCTATGGCATTACCCTAGGGAAGAAGAGGTAAAGATGGTACTTCAAGGAAACATTGAACAACTTCTTTGAACAGCAAACTTTGCTGAGAACTCATTCACCAGTCCTACACTAGTGTCAGGTATAATGCTACACGTTTGATGT